ACCCACATCTTGAATACTGCCTACAGATGTAGTCCCCTCATGTCAAAAATGATATACTGGCATTTGAAAGGGTTCAGAAAAGGGCAACTAAAATGATCAGGGGTTTGGAATGGGTCCCATATGAGGAGAGATTAAAGAGGCTAGGACTTTTCAGGTTGGAAAAGAGGAGACTAAGGAGGGATATGATAGAGGTGTATAAAATCATGAGTGGTGTGGAGAAAGTGAATAAGGAAAAGTTATTTACTTGTTCCCATAATATAAGAAGTAGGGGCCACCAAATGAAATTAATGGGTAGCAGGTTTAAAACAAATAAAAGGAAGTTCTTCTTCACTCAGCGCACAGTCAACCTCAGAAGGGACTTACAATCACTTTAAACCCCTCCCAGAGGTAACATCTCCTGACACAGTTCTGACGGTATTCTGAACAGCATGGGCCAGTTCATCACAGAAACAACTTACTAAGACAAAAACTATGCATTCACAGTGCATGGGATCACAATGTAGCAGCTATGATGGCCCTATTGATAAAGGGGGAAGAACTCAATAAAGGATTTGATGCTACTGGACTTTTGAAAGACTTTTTTGAAAGACCTTTTGATCCAGTACAAAACAACTTAAGAGACAAAGCTGAACCATACAGTGTACAAACTTCCCCAGCAGAGAAACCTTGAAAGAGACTAGCTGCAGATTTATGTGAATTCAGAGGACATCATTATCTGGTCATGGTGGACTATTTTTCCAGGTATATAGAAATAATGAACTTGAAAGACATAACGTGCCACAGTGGTATCAAGAAACTGAAGTGCACTTTGGCTCATTTCAATATTCCAGAATAACTAGTGACAGACAATGAACCACAATTCACTGCAGTAAAATTAAAGTCGTTCTGAATGAAATATGATTTTGATCGTATTACTAGCAGCCCACATGAGCCACAAGAAAATGGAGAGGCTGAGAGAGCTGTGCAGACAGCCAAAAAAATCCTACAGCAGGAGGATCCATTCGTTGCTTTTCTGAGTTACTGATCAAAATCAATTGCAGCTATAGTCCAACACTAGCTATAGTCCAACACTACTCTGATGGGAAGACAACTCAGAACTACTGTTCTGACTTTGAAAAGGAATCTATCTCCCAAGTGGCCAGACATGTAAAAAGTAGCCAAATCCGATAAAAAGAATAAAAGAACTGCTGGATCTAGAACTTGATTACCATGTTCGCATCTAATTGGATGAAGACAAAGGATGGACAGTCAGCACTCAAATCATATGTGAGTGAGACTGAGAGTGAAGAGTTCAACAGAAAACCATCAACATACACAGTTTGTTCATCTGAAAGGACAATTAACAGAGCAAACTCTTCAGAGGGTGGATGCATAACAAGAAGAAGACTCAGAGATTCCAAACCAACCACAGCCGGTCATTGCAACAAATGGAAAGCCAGATGACCAAGTTGTTACATGTTCAAGTAGAAAACCAGTATGATTCAGAAACACTTAACAGACTGACATGTACTTAACTTCAAAGGTAGTGTGGTAGTGTATATTTTGTAAATGATAGGAATGTAGAACTTAAAGGGGGAGATGTAATGGAATGCTAAATTGTACTACACTAGGTGGCAGTGTGTGTAAAACATCTTATTTAAAGCTAACCTTTGCCATACCTGGCACAACATTAAAGGATCATACAGTGAACACATCTGGTATGTGTATCTCTGAGAAGTAAGCTATGTAGTCAGTTTATATCTGATGCAGAAGCCTGACTTGTGACGAGTAGTCCTGCAGCCTCTTATATACAAAAATAATATGGCAGATGTGGCTGAAATAAGAACAGTCTCCAAAATCAAAACACAGGTACATGTCTCTGGCCAAAACAAAGTGGCTGCCCAAAATGACAGCCAATACATGGCTGCCCAAAATGTTGAATGAACTGGGCAGAGGGGGTCACTGGGTATTGTCTGACAGAGAGAGAGAGAGACATGAACAAGCACAGTGTGTGACCCTGAGAGAAGCTTAGCGGGAAGGCTTTTGGGTCTGGTGCTGGCTGAAGAGATTTGGGGCTATAAGCAAAAAAACCTATCTCCTTTTGTTTGGTTCCTCCTGCATTTGAGAAAACAGGATTTTGTTCATTCCTTGTAAATAAACAAGATTGCATAAAAGAAAATAGCTGACTACATAATCAATTTCTCCTTTTACCTTGAACAACTGACAACACCCTAAATTTGGCAAATTGCGTGGGTCAAAAGGGGTAAGAGTAAGGTTTGATGGCTATGCCTGTTTACTATTTCTTAAGCACAAAGTGTGTACATTCTCTGTGCAAGTACGATATAATTGCTGGTATAAAACCATGCAATTTAGCTTTGTGGGATCCCAAAATACTTAGCATATGCTGGACTTGTGAACCAATGTGCCAGTGCTGTAATGCAGCCTCTTTTAGGGGATTTATGTAGAAACACAGCAGCCCTTTTGTTTCCATCGGTGGACCTGATACCACTTTCAGTAACGGGGGGCAAGGTTTGTGTTCTTTTCAGGAACATGTATGTTGGGGTGCGGGGTTGTTATCCTTTCAGCAGGGAATAAGCTTAAGCACTAGAAGTTGTTTCTCATAGGTACTGTAGCAATATAAGTTGAAGCTGTGTCTTAGAAGTGAAAGGCTTTGGGCCTGGGCACTGCTCAACACCCAAGCTTCCACTAAAGCCAATGGAATTTACCAGTGCTCAGCTGGGGTCTGCCTCTTAATCCTAGAACTGGGCAAAATTTTTCAGATTATTATTTTTTTTTTTGTGCCAAAAAATGCATATTCAGATTGACCGAAACATTTTTCAAATTTGTGTTGAATTTACTGAATTGTTTTGGTCAAAAAAAAAGCGGGGGAGGGGGAATTCAAGAAAAGTCTAAATGTTTTGTTTTGACATTTTCAAAACAAAATGTTTTGATTTTTCAATTTGAAATGGCTCTTCGTTTTGAATTTTGCTTCAATTTTATTAAAAAAAAAAGATTTTAAAAAACAGAACTTGAAAATGAAACAAACATTTTGTTTAGGATCAAACCACACATTTCATTCAACCCAAAACAATTTTTTTGTTCAGATATCAAATTGAAAAATGTGTTATTTGCACAACTCTTCTTAGTCCTGCTTCTTAAATACATGCTTTGCTTTCTGTACGTGTATTTAAGGTTTTCTGGTTACAAAGTTTTAGTTGAAATAATCTTAATACAGTTTAAGGTTTTGTCTGGTGATTCATCACAAACATTTATGTGAGCACCAGGATCTTCAAAGATACAAAGTACTCTGCCTTTAGGCACCGGTTAGTTCTCCTGTATTTTCATATCTCAAACCAACAGGTATATTGAGAGTGCAGAATTGCTAAGTCACTGAAGCAATTTTCAAAATTTAGCCTTGCTCATGACCCATATCACTATTTCTCATTTGCTTAGGAATAGGTGCTATCTGGTCCTGCACAGGTGTACAAGGGGAAGAAAGTTTCAGGGAGTCTTTCCTTGCTCCTGTGGTGCCCCTGAGCAGAGACCAGGTACAACTGTGATTCTTGCATCCCTAATATGCACAGACTATAAGAGTCTAGCTCTAAGGACAGCACTGGTCTCCCCAGAAGTCTGAGCTGGGCTCCATGGCCTCTTTCCACCTCATAAAAGGCCAGCAGAGCTGTACTGGTACTGGAGGAACAGATGATACAACCTGCAAACGAGTAACAGGCCTGAGTTTCCTAGGATTCACAGAGGCAGTGGCCTGGTTCACCATTTGTCCTGAACCTTGTGTAGTCATTAACACCAGGGCCAAGTGAATGCAAAATGAATGTAAAACAATTCCATATCAGAATGGCAATGTTTTACACCCACTTAATCTGGTGTAAATGACTACACAGGGTGCAGAGCAATGGTAAATTGAGCCCTCCTCATCCCCAACCTACAATATAGACAGTGGCTTAAAGCTGTAGTCCTATTTTTGGATGCTGCATTAAAAGCATCAGTGTCTTAAAAGAATTTTTCACAAAGCATAAAATACATTTCATACTTGGGGAATCAACAGGCCTGATGCTCTTTGTCTTGCACCAGTGTTAATCTGAAGTAACTCCATTGAAGACAATGCAGTTATACTGGAGTAAAACTAATATGGGTAGAGAATGAGACCCTAAAATTGCACCTCACTCCAAATCTGAGCCTGACGGTGGAGACATTTCAGGAAAATATAGTTGCTAGCTTTTTTCTCCATAATCCACACTGATATAAAAGATTTTGCAAATAGAATAGAATGTGGTTAGTTTCATTTCATACCTTTTAGATTGTAATGTCTTTGGGACGGGGTCCATGAGCAGCATAATGGTGTCCCAATCCTGACTGGGGCTTCTGGACATTACCAATCTATATAACACTATAAATATAAAACACGAACATATAAAAATGCTGTAAATATTAAATTATTATTTCATAGCTAAGATATTCAAAGCATTTCACAACATAATGAGTCAAAAGCAATGATTCTGAAGACAGAGTAACCATTGTGTTATCACACAGCCTTGGAGCTGGTCAGGTCACCAGAATTATCTCCTATTTTTTCCGCTGAAAGTGCCATGGGATCTCTAATTTCTACCAAGACAATTACAAAAGAGACACCAGTTTAATATCTCATAGAGAAGATAGCACCAACAATGCAGCATTCAGCGCAGCATCTCCACAGTTTTCACTGCAACATCAGTGTTGAGTAAGTGCCTAAGTCTACGTGTGTGACTGAAACTCATGACTTTTGCTCTTCTGGTCCAGAAAAGAGAGTGCTAACAATGACCCCTGTACAAATATCTATTACTGGAAATATGAAACATAAAGTTTAGCATTACTCTCTATTATTTTGTTAAGTTGAGCCTTCATATCATGTTATACTATGTCATGATTGAAAAACAGTAGCAGCTAAGACACCTTGTAACTAGAGGTGAGGTATAGGTTTGTTTAATGTTAAACAATAATTTTAGATATGTTGTAATATTTTGCAGTAACTCTACAGATGTTGTACAAGTTAAAAACGTCAAAAGTGTTTGAAAAACAGAAGCTAGGGGAAGGAAAACCAACAGCTGAGATTGTAGAAGAAGATCCTTTTGCCATTCAGATGATGTACTGGTGCCCTGAAAGCCGAATTTTCTGTGTGGCAGGAGTCTCTGCATATGTTATTGTGTACAGATTCAGCAAACACGAAGTGAATACTGAAATAGTGGTAAGTTGTTTAGAATTTTGCTCACATATGATGTTGAAAAGAGTAAGTAATACAAGCCATCATTTTCAAATTTGAGTGCCTTGTGTGAGGCTGCTCAATCCATAGTTATGTACCTGAATAAAACTTTTATTAAGTTGCCTAAGAATAAATTTAGGAGCATTCATGTTTAAATGTTGTGGGTGAAATCTTAGGCCCACTGATGCCAATTGAAAACTCACATTGATTTTAATAGGGCCAGGAGTCCAACCTTTTGCAATAGGAATAAAATATAGTAATAAGTCAAGACTTAGGCTGTTTCCAAGCCACCAGGATAGATCTCTGTGTTAGTTGCTTGCTCCAGAAATACTTGGTGCGGTACCATATGTGTTTTTGTCATCCAAAGTACATTTTTGGCACCCAAGAACAGACCAAATATTCTCAGTAAGTAATTTTACATTAATATACAAGGGAGGTTATCTGTGCTGCTTTGATACTAAACATTAATTTATTTCATTGCATGATAATATCACTCTCTTTTAACTCAAGAGTTTGAAGGCTTTATTTTAATTTATCTTCATAGTGCTTGTAATACAAAGGAATCTAACATTTTCCAGTCTTTGACAAAGTAAAAGTGTTGTTTATTTCTGGTTTAATATATTTTAATCAACTAATGCTGACTTTGTTTCTGCAAAAAAGTGGACACTACAGGAAGTGGCGGATGATTTATATCTAAATAGTCAACATTATTGTCACGAATATTGGGCTAACTGCCCCTCCTGGTCCCTTCGAGTGCATCTCCCTCAGGTTTCAGGCCGTAAGCTTTCACCTCTGTGAATCATTCAGACTGGGCTTGGGGCTGCAGTCTCCAGATTCTACCCATGATTATCTCAGCAGATCTAACTTAGACTCAGAGCCTGGAGTTCTGTTCCCTCTGATAGCAATGACCAGTGGTTAATACAGTGACCAAACAGCCTTCCTAAACCAACCCATTATTTAGTTAGAACCACAGCATTATAGAGAAAACAAATCTTAAAACAATAATCCAGCCTCTATGCATGCCTGTATCTCCCTAAGTCTTACCATTCCCTGGATCTGGGGAAGGTCCAGCTTCTTCAGACTCCTTCCGCAGAGTGTCCCTCTGTTTCAACCTGTTCACTGGACAGCTCCTAACAATTGATTCTCCTTCTTCCCCTGAGAGGGTTTTTTAATGTTCAGGATTTCCAGGCTCTCATCCTGACAAAACTGCTGTGCCAATTTGGTCTGGATCCTGGGAGTGTGCCATTGTCCTGTAATTACCCACCCCTGTGTTTGTTGGGAGGTTTGCTTATTTCTAGTTATTGTGTCACTTTCATGTTTGATGTTCCCATAGCCCCCTATTAAGCTAGATCAATACATTCATGCAGGAAAGTCATACCACTCAAAACACAATAAAATTATTTCACTGACCACGTCACATGCAGTATTCATAACATTATTATATCTCAGTATTCTTAGATGATTATGTACACTTTCTGTTTTTCAGCTAAATTGTCACAAGGAATGAATGGCATTTTGCTGAGTGTAATAATCTGTGCACATTCAATATTCCGTATCTCAAATTTTGTCTCCGATTTAGAACTGTTTACATGAATAATTCTTTTGTGAAAGGCTGTTTCACCATAGTCTCTTATACAGATGGCACATCCAGTCAGGTCTGCTGAATTTTGGGCACCGCCATCTCCACCAAAGCCTCTCCTCTGCCTTCCTCCATCAGTTGTATCTTCCTCTAGCTCAGACACACAGCTCTTCCCTCCAGATCAGTAGTTTCTCTGTAGAAAGAATAGGTTTCCAGGTGGTGGTGTAGGCATATCCTAAGGCTCTTTCTTCCATTTTTCCACCTGACACTATTCCTTCCTGTTCATGCTGACCCTCCCCTTATGGGTACACAGAGGATGTCCAGCTGACATGGGATCCAAGATCACTTCTAAGTGGCTCCACAGCAAGCTTCTGAGGAAGGGGGCCTGTGAAATTCTCCACCCTACCAGTAGCATCAGTCCTTCCCTGGTATGGCTTCTTGATCAAACTTTTGAGGAGATCTGCAGGGTACAGTGTGCCTTTCTTTGGAAATACAGAGAAAGGTCATTGAATTAGGTGATGAGAATCTCCAGTAAACCCGCAGCAGGAGATGCTTTTGCAAGATACCCAAAAACAAATTGGCAAGACATACACCATTCTGCAACCTCTGGATCTTCCACTCAGGATTTGGACCAAAGCCAAACGAAGGTATCACAGAATACTGTGGAATTAAGAGCCTTAGGATTAGCTCAGTTTCACCTTTTATCCAGAAGTGAAAGATATCCCTACCTAACTCAGATGGACAGTTCAGTAGCTGTTGCTTATTTAAACAGGAAGAGACAAAAAGCAAGAGTTTCAGCAGAAAAGCTGCACTTCCGAGGTAGTGGAAAAGGAGGACATACTCTCTTAGGGTATTTCATCTAGCAAGAGGATTTAACAGCCATGCAGACTGGCTTAGTCAGCAGCAACTATTTCCAGGAGATTGGGCTGTTCTCAACCACGTATCTTACTCATCAGTCTCTAAAGGTGGAAGCTGCCCATGGATTTCTTTGCCAGAGCTACAAACAAAAAGATTGCAAGATTCTGCAGCAGATAGAGAAGAACTGAATGAAACCTGGAGAGTGGCCACTTTCTCTCATTATTAGAGGAACTTTGGTGTATGCTTTTGCTCCCTTCCTTCTGTTTCCGTAGATCTTTGAACTTAAAGGTTGACCTTCAAAGAGACCTATACAAAGGCCTCATCTGCATAGTTCTTCATCTTTTAAGGAGGTGAGATCTAGCCATCCTCCTGCTGCTACCAACATGGTTTTTGTTAGAAGTGTTGCCCTGGACAGCCTGGGGGTGGAGGGGGTTGCTGTAATAGAGGGGAAAGAGTTGGAAGTGTCTGATGTACCAGAAAGATCTCCACCATCCTTACCTTCCCCAGATGAATCCAGGGGTTTCTCTTAGCCTTCTGTCCCAAAGCAAAAAGACTGTTCTATCTCTAGTTCCTCAAAAGATTTATTACTATTGCCCCTTTTCTTCCTTAATGGCTAGTCAAAGTTTGGGGCCCTGGAGATGTTCCAGTTGGAGGTAGAGATTGGTGATGGAATCTGGTATTTTCTTTGATGCAATCTTGTTTATTTACAAGGAACGCTCAAGGTCCTGCTTCTCTAACGCAGGAGCAGCTAGAAACAAAAGAAAGGTTTCTTAGCTTACAGCCCCAAGCCTCTTTAGCCAACACAGGACCCAAAAATTTTCTCTCTAGCTTTTTCCACTGTGCTCATAGGCTGCTGTTGCCTTTCTTTTTTTTTTGTCTCTGTCTCTCTGTTTCTGTTCCCTTTTCTTCTTTCCCTCACAGACATACACATGTGCACATGCACGTGCACGCACGCACACACACACACACACACACACTTTACCCAAAACTATACTCAGCAAAAGCCGCTCCACCCACACAGTCTAAAACTTCAGGTGGATTCACATAACCCTTTTGTTTTAGATGAGAATTTGTGATTAACTTATCCTTACAGTTGTACTAATTTGTAGTGTACGTTCACACCCATCAACCTTATTGAGGTGTTTTTTTTCACTCAGCCCATAACAAAGTTTCACCCAGCTCACAGTACTTTTACTGTCATCCAACTCCGTATTATCTAGTAGTAGCAAAAGCCAATGAAAAATGTCACCAAGCTGTAGCCTCTAGGTCTTTATCTGTAGGTATGTAGGTATATAGGACAAATAAATGGGTCTGTTAGGGTAAGGTATATTCCTCAGCCACACCGCAGCAGAGAATCACCAACTGTCAAGTAGTGTTGATGAAGTATCACTTCCTTATGTGGTTACTGGACTGAGGTGATTCTTCCTTTTGGATCAGCTCTCGAATGATGTGAACATGCCCTGCAGTGATCAGCATATGATATCTCTGACAGTACTGCCAAGTCTGTAATGACATCAGTTATCATGCACTGATCTTCCTGGTTCAAGAATTTGAATTTACAACAGGATGTTTTGAGCATGGTAGCGGGGTCTTCCTTTAAGACTCCTGATTTGTTAGGAAAAGATAGATGACATCTTGAAGAAGGGGCGACTCTCAGATTTGATGTCTATATAGCTTCATTTAGGAGGAAATCCGTTCCCTTCAGGTTCCAGAGGTAAAACTCTTCCTGACCTCCAGCAGGCCAGAAGGCTACCCTGAGGCACTCATCTCTCATACTTAGATCCAAGTATTTTGCCAGCCATCTATCCTGCCTCACTGGCAAGCTTGGCTGCAGCACTGAGTTCCAGACAGCAAGTCTGATAAAATGATCAAAACCCTCCAGGCAGTCTGTGTTGTGGGTTTGTACCCTTCCCCTTTCTCCATATCTTTCAGGATTCTCTTATGAGACACTGGTAAGGGACACACATGGGGCTATAGAAGAGGTCCCTTGCCAATACAAGAAGTTCTTCATTTATTTCTTGGTACCCAAAAAGGGAGTCTGCATCCCTAGTGGATCCAAGGTGATTACACAAATACATCATGAAGCCAAAATTCCATATGGTGACATGGGCTCATATTAGCTTACCTTCACATCTTGACACGCTTCTCACTGGAGATATCTTTGATTTTGTGAGGGAGAAGATCTCTGCATTAACTTTGTGTACCCTGGGATCTTTCTATGATACCACTACTTTTCCCAAATGTCAGGGCTTCAGGGTCCACTCATACTTAGAAGATTAGCTGATCAGAGCTCAGCCACCTCGGGGGGTGCCCTTGGATCCAAAGAAATTGTGCTGCTGACCTGCTGTGTGACCTTTTAGCAGGTCACTTCATCTTTTTTGTACCTCTGTTTTCCCCTCTCAGCCTTTGATTGGTCTCATAAGATTAGACCTCAGGGCAGGGACTGTCTCTTACTATTTATCTGTAAGGCACCTAGTGCAGTGGGACCCCAATCTCAATAGGGATCTCTGGGCACTACTGTAATACAAATAATAAATAATATCATGTGAGACCATCTCCATTAAGGGAACTGGACCATAGACCAACAAAGCTAATGGGGACCCTATTGCAAGCCGTATTGAACTGTGTTACCTACCATCTGTCTCTGAGGATAATAATCATCTTAGCTGTAACTTCAGCCAGAGAGTTAGTAGATCAGGACCTGATGGTTCAGCCCTCTTACGCTATGTTCCATAAGGATACTTTGGTCCTGCATCCTCACCCCAATTTCCTATCTAAAGAGGACCCTAGTTTCCATCTCAACCAGGCCATAAGCCTACCTGTATTTTTCTTCAATTCTTATTCACATCCAGAGGACACCAACCTTCACAATATAGATGTAAAGAGGGCACTTAGTTATTATCTAAATAGGATCAGACTTATCCACAAGCTCCACAGACATTTTGTGGCACGTGGGGATAAGACCAGAAAGCAGACCATCCCAACACAAATAGATCATAGACTCAGGGACCCTATGGTCAAAAGGGACCTTGTGATCATCTAGTCTGATGACCTCCTGCACATTGAGGCCACAAAACCTCACCCACCCACTCCTGTAATAGGCCCATAACCTCTGGCTGAGTTACTGAAGTTCTCAAATCATGGTTTAAAGACTTCAAGTTACAGAGTCACCATTTACACTCATTTAAACTTGCAAGTGACCCATGCCCCCATGCTGCAGAAGAAGGCAAAAAACCCCAGGGTCTCTGCCAATTTGACTTGGGGGAAAATTCCTTCCTGATCCCAAATATGGTGATCCGTTAGACCCTGAGTATGTGGGCAAGACCCACGAGGCACATACCTGGGAAAGAATTCTCTGTAGTAACTCAGAGCCCTCCCCATCTAGTGTCCCATCTCAGTATTGTTACAGATCAAATCAGATCAATATTTGACTGCTAGAATCTGGCAGATGTCCTTTGGACATTCAGCTAAATCTAACACATCTTCCATACATGCTTTCACAAGTCTCCATGACTGAAATATGAAAGGCATATTGGAGCTCTATAAACATCTGTATGCAGCATAATTTACATTCTAGATCTGGGTCTTTAACTGTAGATCTGATGTCCAATTCAGCAGAACAGTCCTGCAGTCACTAGTTAGTTAGTATTTCTCAGAACCACCTCCTTGAGGGTCATTGCTGCTTCTTAATTTCTTCAGAATAGGGATCCATTTGGACAGTTCACAAAGGAGAAAAATCAATAACTTCCCTTGGTAACTGTGGTTCTCCACGATGGTTGCCCATATGGATTCACACTTCCTGCCAATATTCCCCTTGCCTATGAAGTCTTGGGTTAAGGTTTCCTGAATTAGGGAGAAGAAATGCAGGATGATTATGCCCACATCCTGAGAACCTAAAGTGAGTGGGGAAGGATGGAGCAGTCCACTGGACAGTGCTTGCTAGAAGCTTCTGAGCTAATGTGCCAGGAATGTGGTTTTCCAATGAGCAAGAACCTTATGTTATCTCATTGTGATTGCCTGACTCTTGTCTGTGGAGAAGGGAAGATCACCCATCAATGCCATCAGCATGTCAGTTCTGTGCTGTGTGCTAGATTTCCCTCTTCATAGGAAGTGTTGGGAATTGCTATTTATAGGGGCCCAATTTGCCAGTTTGACTTGAGGTGCCCTCAGTTTCTTTCACCAGCCAGAAAGCGCCTGAGTCACAGTCACTGGTGGAAGCATACAACTGGGTATTTCTCTGCCAGCTTGGGGACAGATGCATTGTTTTCAGATGCTGGTATTGAGATGTTAATGAGTAACCATCTCTAATAGCAAAAAGCAATGATAACTGTGCTTTTATGGTTAGAAACAAAATTAGTGTTATCTATTTAAAAGCAATGACGTCTAAGTAGCTCATTTTAATAAATTGTAACTTAGATTTTTATTTACTTCAGTCATTAGAGGTGCGACTTCAGTATGACGTAGAAGATATCATTACTCCTGAACCAGAAATAATTCCTCCGTTTCCTGATGCCTCATCCCAACTTCCTTCCTTAAGGAGCCTTTCAGGCAGTACCAACACTGTGGCATGTGAAGGAATGATGAAGGACAGTATCCCATGTCTTAGGTAAACTAATGCACTTATTTAAAATGTATTCTACTCATTCAGATAAACCATATTTAACATAATGAATTGGAAAAGAAGGATAAACAATATGTCAATATAATCCACAGATGATACTAAACTGGAATCTGTGGCAAACAACAGTGAGATAAATAATATAAAGGGTTTAAAATGGCTAGAAATAGAAATATTTAATATAAAATATTAAATGAGACAAAGACAATTTAATACATCAGGGGACAATAATCTGAAATAAAGATTAGGAAGACACTGAATGAGCAATTACGCCAAAGAAGATTTTGTGTTGAGAGGCCTATAAATTAGATCTGGACTTTTAAACTGATATGAGAGCTACACACACACAAAAAGTCCAAAATTTTGAACTGAAAACAAGCAAGCATCTCAGCATGCATCAGCCTTTAGTTTACAGGGGAAAGTATTGTCTTTTGTGTTGACAAAGTGATCTCCATAAAACAGTCATGTCCAAAACTGCCAGTATATGTACTACAATCAGTATGCCAGTATGGAGCTACGATCGTCCTTTGAGGAAAAACTTGTATGTATTTATAGAAAAAAACTATGTATTTATAAAACAATAATAAAAAGCATAAAGGTAATGACATGAGATAGACATAGCGTTACTGGCCTAATATAGGGCGGAGCAAACTAGTGGAATGTGGTGTAGATGAAGTTAGTATTAGGTGGATGTACAAGTGGTTGAAAAATCATACTCAAAGAGTAGTTATGGATGATTTGCTGTCAAATTGGGAGGACATATCTAGTGGGGGCCTGCAAGGGTCTGTCCTGGGTCTGGTACTATTCAATATTTTCATTAATGACTTGGATAATGGAGTGGAAAGTATGCTAATAAAATCTTTGGATGACACCAAGCTGAGAGAAGTTGCAAGCACTTTGGAGGACAGGAGTAGAATTCAAAAGGACTTTGACAAATTGCAGAATTGGTCAGAAATCAACAAGATGAAATTCAAGAAAAGTGCAAAGTACTATGCTTAGGAAGGAAAAATCAAATGCACAGCTACAAAATGACTAGATGGTAGTACAGCTGAGAAGGATCTGGACGTTGTAGTGAATCACAAATGGAATATGAGCCAACAATGTGATGTAGTTGCAAAAAAAGCTAATATAATTCTGGGGTGTATTAACAGGAGTGTCATATATAAAATCCAGGAAGTAATAGTCCCACTCTACTCTGCACTGGTGAAGCTTCAGCTGGAGTACTGTGTGAAGTTCTGTGCACCACACTTTAGGAAAGATGTGAACTAATTGGAGAGAGTCCACAGGAAAGCAACAAAAATGATAAAAGGTTTAGAAAACCTGATTTATGAGGAAAGGTTAAAAAAGCTCAGTGTGTTTAGTTTTAAGAAAACAAGAGTGGTGGGGGACCTGGTAACAGACTTCAAATATGTTAAGGACTGTTATCAAAAGGATGGTGATCAATTGTTCTCCATGACCATGGAAGGTAGGACAAGAAGCATGGGCTTAATCTGTAGGAAGGAAGATTTAGATTAGATATTAGGAAAAACTTTCTGTTTATAAGGATGGTTAAGCACTGGAATAGGCTTTCAATGGAAGTTGTGGAATTTCTATCAGAGGATTTTAAAAACAAGTTAGACAAACACCTCTCAGAGATGGTCTAGATACACTTGATTCCGCCTCAGCCCAGGGAGCTGGACTAGACGACCTCTCAAGCCCCTTCCATCCCCACATTTCTATTATTCTATTAACTGTGTGTAAAGAAGTATTATGAGTTTTAAGAAATGAAAAAAGTTGTTGTCTGTTATTTACATCACAACTGAGTGGAGTAGATTAATATGTTCTAACTAAACCCTAATGAGTTCTGGTTTTGAATGACTTCACGATAAAGTATTCCTTACAATGTTTTATAAATTGTAATTTAACAGCAGTTATAGTGCATTGCAGAGATCAATGTTTATTTTTATTTTAGTGCATTCATAATTACTTTAAATATTATTAAATATGTCTCATTTTGTTTCAAAATCAGTTTAAATAAACAGTGACTGACAGCTCTGTTTTTTGGGCTCCTGAAAGTGACGTTTTAGAACATAGACGCATCATCTAATTAGCATAAGAAAAGATGTTGTTTATACATATGTGGCCCTATTCACTTTGGCACCCAATTCATCAGTCCATCCTTATTCAACAAAGCAGATGAACTTTAACAATGTGCTTAATCTCACTGAAGTCAGTGGGAGACGCAATGGAAAAAGGAAAAAAACCAAAACAACCCAGGGAGATATCCTGGCCCCATAGAAGTCAGAGAGTTTTGCCATTAACTTCAGTGGGGCTAGGATTTTACTCTGAGGTATTCTGTTGTTTTTTTGTTTTCCATGGTTTGAATTTCTTTATCACTATGAAGCATTTCCATGAACGTAATGTATATTTCGAAAGATTTTTTGATAGTAGAAACATTAGGCTCTTACTTCAAAATGTGAATGGAAAAAAATTATGTATTTGAAAAAATCAGAGAAGTGATGAGAATATTGAATATTGAGGTTCTTTTGAAGGCTGTTAGAACACAATAACATTTCCAGAACTGCCTCAGTGGAGTCTTTGCTTATTTGAGAGAGCAATATCATCACTGTCATCAAAAAGTAGCTGTAATAATAACAAGACTCTGTTTCCAGACTTCCAGTGTCTCTTTCACGTCCATTTGTCTTTGTCAACATCCTGGAAACATGCTGGGGGATGAGGGGGCTCCAGCTCACTCGGCCCCTGTCCCCAGCAGATGGGGTGGCAGTGGGCAGGCCCTGCAGCTGGGGACAGGGACCGAGCGAGCTGGAGCACCCCTTCCCCCCAGCATGCTCAGCCCCTGTCCCCGGCAGCTGAGCCTAGGCATGGAGCGGGGCGCTGCTGCCTCCCAGCCGGGCTCTCTTAGGCAGAAGCGGCTCCGTCCCACTCCCCGCTCAGCTGCCAGGGAGAGCGGCCGAATGTGCTGGGGGGAGGCACAGGGAGAGAAGGAAACACCCCGTCTCCCCATGCAGGTAATGTGGAGCACGGAGAGTGCTGAGGCCCTAGGCTGGGTGGGTTGCTGGCCAGAGGAGAAACGTGGAACAGTCACGTGTCCTGCCGTTTAGCTTGTGCCCTCCCCCCCAGTATGGGGAGGCACCAATCATCTATGCATTCCAGCATGTTTGGGCTCCACCTGTTAGGGATTCCACTCTGTTCTGGGCTCAACATATTAGGGATCAGTCACACTGGCTAAATAATAAACAATTCCCCCTACACATTATAGATAGGTGTGTAAGGAGGTGCTTATCCTGTTCTCTAATGAGATTTGGTGATCTGTAGCAGACATCTAGTACTACCCCATCTTGTGCTTTATCTGTTAGGACATTGATCCATAAGAATTCAAGATAATTTTCTTCGAAGTTATCAGTGACTCAGAAACAGGTAATGCCATTTTTAATGTAAAGTGCCACTCCCCCTCCCTTTTTGCTCACTTGATCATAGAATCATAGAATATCAGGGTTGGAAGGGACCTCAGGAGGTCATCTATTCCAACCCCCTTCTCAAAGCAGGACCAATCCCCAATTTTTGCCCCAGATCCCTAAATGGCTCCCTCAAAAATTGAACTCACAACCCAGGGTTTAGCATGCCAATGCTCAAACCACTGAGCTATCCCTTATCCCTGGATAAGCAGTGGAACATGAGCTCCCAGTGTGATGCTGTGGTGAAAAGAGCTAATGCAATCCTGAGAGGCATAAACAGAGTAATCTTGAGTAGGAGTAAAGAAGTTTTTTCACTTCTGTATTCAAGAAGGATGTTGATAGATTGAAGAGGGTTCAGAGATGAGCCATAAGAATGATTAAAAAGTTAGAAAACATGCCTCATAGTGACAGATGCAGGGACTTCAGTCTATTTATCTGAACAAGGGAAGTTTAGGGAGTGACTTGATTAGTCTTCAAATATCTATCTGAGGAAAAAATATTTAATAATGGGCTGTTCAGCCTATCAGGGAAAGGCATAACACAACGGTATAATCCACACAAAGGTATAATCCAATGGCTAGAGCGTGAAGCTAGACAAATTCAGATTGGAAATAAGGCACACGTTTTTAGTGGTGAGAGTAATTAACCACTGGAGTAATTTACCAAAGATCGTGGTGAATTCTCCATCACTGACAATTTTTAAATCAAGATTACGTGTTTTTCTAAAAAAGATACTCTGGGAATTATTTTGGAGAAGACTTATGGTGTGTGCTATACAAGAGGTCAGACTAGATGATCATAAAGGTCCCCACTGGCCTTAGAATCTAAGTTAGAGGTCCAATATAAACAAATTAAAAAGGCCCAACCCATAATTATTTTTATCAATGAGCCATCATTACTTAAAACTGCTGTACTGTTGATCTTGAAGGTGATAAACAATACAAAGCTATACAATTTAGCCTATAATGAGCTAAGGTTATTATGCTATTTGGGTCCCACTTTTGAGTTTTGCTGAAAAGGAAAACTTGCCTACTAGAAACCACTTTATCCACCCCCAGAGAAGATATAATTTTTCATAGATATGAAACAATAAACAATAAGAAAAGTATAGATCCTTAAAAACAATGCCCCACATGCATCCCTGGTGTAACTACATTGAAGTCAGTAGATATACAACATGGATTAAATTGACCCATAATTTGTATAATGTATATGCCCCATAAGAACTGAGTAGTATTATAAAAATGAGACAGAACCTATCAGATCCTCATTTTGATATGATTTGTATTTTCACTGTTAACAGTACATAATTATTTTCAATAAAATAACATTCATTGCAATCTGATAAGTAACCACTATGGTAAAGAAATTCAGTTACAAAGAAAAATATACATTTCTTGTTAAAGAGTAAATACTGAAGTGAGGAACATATACAGCAACTTTAATGAGCTCATGAGAGTTAAAAATTATGATTAATAAAGTGTGGTTTATACCACTGGAATTTTAAATAATTTTAAGAGCATGTCTGGTATTTTAAACTGCAGCATTTAAGAGAAATTGGACATTGTCTTCAATACAATATTTGAAGATGATAAATACATTCTACCAGTCAGCAAAGAAAGGTACTGAAAAGAGAAAGCAGCCATACAGTAGGTGAAGAATAATCTTTTCGCAACATCTTTGGTACACCTCTGGGACCTACTTTGCAGACAATTGCACCTTCCATAACAACACATGAAGAGAGACTGCTAACTGCACCAAACTCTGTATAGGAAGCGTGTATAAAAAGCTCTGTATAGCTTGAAAGCTTGTCTCCTTCACCAGCATAAATTGGTCCAATAAAAGATATTACCTCAGCCACCTTGTCTTTCTTATAAGAATCCATTCAGTCTTCAAGGCTAGATTAGCTACTGGGTGATTGTACTCAAAGGAAGGAGAGTTAACAAAACAGGTTAGTTGGATTGAAGGAGAGATGGAGTCTTTGCCTGATTCATGAGTTTTAGGTATCCATAGAATATCATAGAATATCAGGGTTGGAAGGGACCCCAGAAGGTCATCTAGTCCAACCCCCTGCTCGAAGCAGGACCAATTCCCAGTTAAATCATCCCAGCCAGGGCTTTGTCAAGCCTGACCTTAAAAACCTCTAAGGAAGGAGATTCTACCACCTCCCTAGGTAACGCATTCCAGTGTTTCACCACCCTCTTAGTGAAAAAGTTTTTCCTAATATCCAATCTAAACCTCCCCCCTGCAACTTGAGACCATTACTCCTCGTTCTGTCATCTGCTACCATTGAGAACAGTCTAGAGCCATCCTCTTTGGAACCCCCTTTCAGGTAGTTGAAAGCAGCTATCAAATCCCCCCTCATTCTTCTCTTCTGCAGGCTAAACAATCCCAGCTCCGTCAGCCTCTCCTCATAACTCATGTGTTCCAGACCCCTAATCATTTTTGTTGCCCTTCGCTGGACTCTCTCCAATTTATCCACATCCTTCTTGAAGTGTGGGGCCCAAAACTGGACACAGTACTCCAGATGAGGCCTCACCAATGTCGAATAGAGGGGAACGATCACGTCCCTCGATCTGCTCGCTATGCCCCTACTTATACATCCCAAAATGCCATTGGCCTTCTTGGCAACAAGGGCACACTGCTGACTCATATCCAGCTTCTCGTCCACTGTCACCCCTAGGTCCTTTTCCGCAGAACTGCTGCCTAGCCATTCGGTCCCTAGTCTGTAGCTGTGCATTGGGTTCTTCCGTCCTAAGTGCAGGACCCTGTACTTATCCTTATTGAACCTCATCAGATTTCTTTTGGCCCAATCCTCCAATTTGTCTAGGTCGTTCTGTATCCTATCCCTCCCCTCCAGCGTATCTACCACTCCTCCCAGTTTAGTATCATCCGCAAATTTGCTGAGAGTGCAATCCACACCATCCTCCAGATCATTTATGAAGATATTGAACAAAACCGGCCCCAGGACCGACCCTTGGGGTACTCCACTTGATACCGGCTGCCAACTAGATATGGAGCCATTGATCACTACCCGTTGAGCCCGACAATCTAGCCAGCTTTCTACCCATCCAGATACCACGGAGATGAGCACTACATAAAAATGCGGCTAGATAGATAAGAAGGGGACATTAAAAGTTGAATCAACACTTTATGGGGCCTTTTAAAGCATAGTCACTCTCGAATTTCTCAGATTTTATCAATCACCACTGAATAGAATTCCCCATAATAATATTTAGTCTAAGTACTTATCTAGTTAGGAATGGGTTACAGCAGGATCTACAGATCTGGGTCCATGGACACAGAACTGTTCATCCCAGGAGCTGAGTGTGTGATATTCAGGAGGAGGTACAGGAATTAACGATAGGCATAACAGAGAGCAAGCAGTGCCACAAACAATTTTACAGGGTGGGTTCTTTATCGTTGGATTGGAACTAGAGCTTGGTTGGAAAAACTTTGACACAACCATTTCATTTTCCATTGGAAAATGCAGTTTCACTGAAATAGTTTCACTGAAATTATTCACAAAGTGATTGTTGATTTAGCAGAAATTTTGTTTTGGGAAAAATGGGAAAACAATTTCCAATAATGTTGAGGTGTCCCATTTCAACACTCAGAATGAAACATTTCAATTTTTTCTTTTGAAATGACTTTTTGTTTCTAAATTATTTTATTTTGCACTATATATTATAAAATTTTAAAAAGTTGAATTTGTAATGAAACAAAACAATGTTGTTGAAATGAAACATTTCAATTGACCCAAAACAAACAAACAAAAATTTGAATTTTCTTTTGTGGAGAATTTTGACATTTTCAGGTTTCATTCCTAATCTGAAACCTCATTGAAACCTTCCAAGAAATGGAATTTTCATTCTCTACACAGCTCTAATTGGAATATATAGTCTTAATATACAACTATATTAAAAGTATTGTGGGAATTCCTTTTCAGTGCTGATTCAGTCCTATAAGGGAAGTTGGCTTCACTATTATCTCCTCAGGGTAAATAGTTTCTATTATTGTACCCTAATCATTTTGTTTATGTGTTTCTATTTTGTGTCCCTTTTTCTTCTTAGTGTTAAGACTCGACCGGTGCGAATGCCTCCTGGTTACCAAGCAGAGCTTGTTATTCAGTTGGTGTGGGTAGATGGTGAGCCTCCACAACAAATCACCAGTCTGGCCGTAAACTCAGCCTATGGACTGTAAGTAACTAAAAATCATGTTGTATTGATTTATTGTTTACTCAACTAAGCAATATATGTTTCAGTTATACTTTGAAGTTCCCTGCAGACACTTAAAAGTCACCATGAAAAATCAAAAGTTGCTTTAAGCTAGGTTCTTGGCTAAAAAATTACAAGAACAAGTAACCCACATAAAAGATGTAATATGAGAAGTTAATCTGACATTCTCATGATGGCATCTTTCACATAATATCCCTGTCTTTTTAATCAAAACCAAATTACCTTTCTGAGTTATAATTTTTTTTAAAGATATCTTAATATTATCACAAAATGACCAGGAGCTGGCACAAGGGGGTGTAAATTAGACCTATCTGTGACACCTTGATAGAAGGCAGGCACTGATGTCACTGCTGCCTTCACTTGGGTACCTGTTAGAAGGGACATTTTTTGTTTATGGCTAGGTCGCCAAAGAAAACCAGCTGGAAAAGGTTGTGATGCACTGGCCATGTATCCTTTCCAACCAGCACAGCCCATTTGATTCCATTTCATACTGATGGGAAATGCACATGTGCATCAAATCAGGAAAAGAGTCTTTACAAGTTTGTTTCTAGTAGAGAAGATATCACTCGGGTATAAAGGTACAGGTTGGTGTTTCCAAGGGGGCCTCTGGGAATTAGGTGCCCAGCTCTTACTGACTCTGAGTATAAATTTGAGCACTTGCCCCTCAGAGGCCCCTTTGAAAATCTCAGCCATAACCTTTGTATTAGTGTGAAAACATTTGTCTGTCCTGAGGTACTGGTCGGCTCCTAGTCATGAAATCTAGAAATTTCATTAATTTTACCTTTGCCAGAATGCATTTTTCACAATACCTAGGCAAACTTCACCTCTGATCCCTCCTGATCTCATTGAGTGCACCCCTTTCCAGGTCTAGCTATCACCAGGCTCAGGGTGGAATCACTCATTTCTCCATCCTCAGACTGGGCCCTGGGTTGCAGTGCCCTGGTACTAACCATGATTACCTCAGCACTCCGATTTATGGCCAGCCGCTGCAATTCTGTTCTATTCTCTAGGAGCAATGACAGTGGTAAGCAGCAACCAGGAAGGGTGCTGGAACAATTTGCATAGTGGGGGTGCTGAGCGTCATTGAACCAAACTGTAAACTCTGTATATGGTGGAAAGAACTTCAAGCCAGGGAGTGCAGCAACACCTCCAGCACCCCTAGTTCCAGCCCCTATGGTGACCAGCCTCTTTGAAGCAAAATATTGTTTATTTAGAACAAAAGCATTTCAGAGAATACAGATCTTAAAAATAATGAAACTGATTGTATGCATATTGAGCTTTTCCCTGAGGTTTACCATTTCCTTGATCTGGGAAGGCCTGACTGCTCTAGACTGCCTCCACAGAGTATCTATGTCTCAGCCCAGACAGCTTTTGACAAGTGACAGCCCCTTCTCTTCCTCAGAAGACTTTTTAACTCTTTACTGTTCTTTTGATCTCTGGCCTCCCACCCTGGCAAAACAGCTGTCACTTCATCCTCGAGCCTGGAAATAGGCCATTATCTTGTAATTGCCCCCCGGTGTTTGTTGGGAGGTTGTTTATGTGGGACCATTGTGTTGCCTTCCTGTTTATTCTTCCCACGGCCCCCTATTAAATTAGATCAGTGCAGTTCATACAGGAAATTCTGTTAACCCACCATAGTTACAATTTGTATAGGGGAGGTGCTGAGCGCCATTGAACCAAACTGTAAACCCAGTATATAATGGAAACCACTTCAAGTACCCTTACTTCCATCATCTTATACAGTAACTTTATCTCACTGAGCAGGCCATGTACAATAGACGTACCTTTATTACATATCCATGTTCATACATAGAGTAATACATAGCAACTCCACAGCTGTCACACCATTACTGCAGGTCCAAAGCATGTATAAAAACAAAGGTTAAAAAACACCTTACATAACAAATATGAGGCAGTTGATGTGTTGTGAATTCAATATATTTCACTTTATTTCTGTTTACTTTGAGCTCTTGCAAGCTTCAAATTAGAAATATTTACACTTTCATGCAATTAAAGAGAATCATCACACTACTGGTTTCCATTATAAAAGTAGAAAAAAGGGTGGCAAAATTCTGCAGGTATATATATATGTTAGTATATTTTAAAATATATAAAAATATTAAATTAAATTAAAACAATGACCAACTAAGAAGGCCTTTCCTGAAAATTAATAACCAGTTTGTGTGTTCCCTAGCCCTCCACGTGAGCCCCAGGTCCTCAGCTCCTCCAAATTTTAACTGCCAAGAAATGTCTGATCAAGATCTTAGCTTTGCTATTATGAAAAATATTTAATTAATTAATTAATGAAAAGCACAAGCACTCCGCCCTCCCCCCAAAAAATCAGCTTTAAGAAATTGAATGGTGTGCTGCATGTAATATGCAGTTTCTTTCAGTAGCAGTCCTTTCCTAGCAGTTAGCAAGTACAGTAGCTAGTGGGAAATAAGAAATTCACTCTGAACTCTTCATTAGGTTTATGATTGCATACAGAAGACAGAGAAATTCTTTATTTGCCTTTAGGTCTGGTAGGAGTAATCTTCTCCTACTTATATTGTTCCTCTGTCAAAGGTATTATTAAGCCTCCTTCTTTATAGTCAATATTGTATAGCTGGAATGCATAACACACCTATATGCATTGTTGTAGCCTGCTGTGTCCTGAGGAAGAGCTCTGTGTAGCTCAAAAGCTTGTCTCTCTGACCAGCAGAAGTTGGTCCAATAAAAGATATTACCTCACCCAACTTGTCTCTCTAACACATCTGTAGTTTAGTTTGGCCAGTGTCAATCTAAAAAGTTTTTCTTTTGCAGTTGCTTATAAGTTTTTCAGTTATAACTTGCATTGTTGGGGTGAAATTTTCTAGGTCTGATCTCTGCCTGAGGGAGTAAAGTGTTTTGGGATATTTGAGCAAAAACAGTTTAACTGCTTTCAAGTATAAAGAAAGTGGGGAAAATCCTTTTACCATTATGAAAAAAAATCTGACCTTTAGCTCATAGATGTGCCTTTTATGTGGTCTAATTAAAATCCATTTTGATTTGGACCACTTACAAAAATTTTTAAAAACATATATTGAATAGGTGAACTGATTTTTTTTTTAACAAGTTGGTAAGGGTTTCTTTTACCAAAGATCTCCCAAAATTCTGATGGCACCCCACGTGAATATGTAAGGAGTTTGAGTAGATTTTTCTGTCTTCTAAGTTGAATTTGAAACCTCACCTGTCTAGTCTGAAGCAGCTAAATTATGGAAGTGCTTTAGAAAGAATAAAACTGAGAACAAAAACCTACCTAATTCAGGAAAGCTTAATTATGCTCTTCAGACTGGTTAGAGGTCTTCAATGCTTTCTTGAAAAAAATTCTGTCAGAAACCCAGACAGTGGTGGTCAGGCTTAGATCTATTATGCTGATATGCAGCCTGTATAGATATTGATTATTGGGTCTGGTACCTTCTTTGCCACTTCAGAAATTCTTCGTCAGGAAATCTGTTTTTTGGGCTCTATGTCAGTTGTTTGACCATAGACTATGCCAGCATATGAGGATATGTTATAAAGCCGTGCTTACAAGCAATGGGTTTATATTCTTAGGATGCTGTGATGGGGTTTATAACCCAACACTGGGCAACAAGGGGTTAAGGAATTACTTTGGGCCCAGCCTCACCACACCTGTAGGAAATGCTCCAACTGGAGGAGGAGTTAAAAGATGGGGGAACCACTCATTTGGTGCAGACCAGGGAAGAGAGCAGACCTGCAAGCTGCTGCTCCAGCAGAGGAGAGCCTGAGGGAAGGCAGAATCTATCCCTAAGACAACTGCCCAAAGGTCCCTCATGGAGGGAAGGGAGGACCTGCCACAGAGGCAGCCTGATGGAGCAACATTTCCCTCTCCCCTCATATGAACTCTGGACTTCAGTACTCCCTTTTGTTTTTGTTTGGACTACCCCAGCAGGGGAAAGCCCTTGGACTGAGGTGGCCCTGGAGGCTGGACCATACCATGGGAGGAGGCAGCTGCCACCTGAGAAAGAGAGCTACCACACTGTACGCTGCCCCCAGGAGGTGCCTTGTGGTGAGCAGGCACCCTTCACGCCACCTTAACGCAGCTGGGGACAGTCACAGGTGGGGAGATAGGAAGTCACCCAGAGAGGGCAGCCTTAAGCAGCCTTGGCTGTCAGATCACTGACAGTCCTCAAAGGGCCCTGGGTTGGAGCCTGGTGAAGTGGGAAGGTCCAGCTCCCTTACCAACAATCCCACTGCAGGTCATGGGCCTTAGCCCTGACCACCAGATGACACTATCCGACAAACCGACCCTCGATTGAGGACCATCACAGATGCACTCCAGCACTTTCCATGAGAGTGTACATCATGGCCAAAAGACTATTCAGGCAGACTGGATGAGTTACCAGACCCAAATCCCTGGAGAGTATAATCTCAATTAGGAGGTATACTCTTGATTTTTCTTTGGCAGTGAGCTTTGCCATGTGTGGTTGACCACCGGACACACTGTAAACCATGATTAGTCTTACATTAGCTTGTGTGACTCTCTATTCCTCCCCTGTTTTCATTAATGTTCCAAAAGATCAGGTTGAACTGGGTTTAAACCATCTTTACTGTACCTCTCTGTCTTTGCTTTCTGGGCCTGATAGTCCTCATGATAAACCAATGCCAGAGACTCCTCCTTTATCTAGAATGCCTCATGGAATGTCCCATTCCCTTAAAAAATCCTTCTTACAACAGTCAGATGGCTTTCAGGGTGATAAGGACTCATTTGAGATTTTCTCCTGTAGCCAATTGCCCAGCTTGGTCCTTACTATTGTATTTAGAGTATTTTGTAACGGTTACTTTCAGAAAGATCTGACTGATCACTATCTCTTTACATGTTTTTTATTTTTATTTTTACTGTGTTCAACAAAGGCCTCAGCCACATCATTTTCTAGAGGCAGATGACTAGCATTTCTGTTGTCTCAAATCACAGAAAAGAGATTGTGTTTTGTTCATGCTCCAGTCTTCTTTTTGTACAGCGCTATGTTGCCTCATTTTGATCCCTTTTACTTGCTTAGTACAAATTGGTCTTTTATTTATGTAGGAACATAGGACTTGCTTTAACAGCTTAGCCCAGTGGTTCATCTAATCCAAATCCCTGTCTCTGACAGTTGGTAGTACCAGATACTTCACAGAAAGATTCAAGAATCCCCATAATGGACAATAGGGATAGTTTCCTTGCAAACCCCCATCAGTTAGAGCTTGGCCTGTGCCCTGAAACATGAAGGTTTGTATACTGTATACAAAATGTTATCCTGTCTAATATAACTGTGGATGTTCTTATTTAACTCAACAAACCCTTGTTGAAAGTCTAAGGGTGGATCCATGGTCAGTGGTTGGAGCATGCTGTCAGTGCATTCCTTCTGTGAATGTTCTGTCATAGTTGTTGTTAGTAATAGTGGTACTCATTTTGCCTCCCTTGGATTCCATTTTCTTTATTTTCTATTTGTTCCTGTTCTCCGTAGTCTGAACTCTGGGCTTAAGTGGTTCCAGGGGAACTTACACCAAAGTCCCCTGGCTTCAAGCCCTACTCTGGGTGTCCCAGGCTGTTGGCCATGAGTATCCCTCACCCTCACTGTCTGAAGTGCTTGGGTGAGGGTCACATCAGGGACAGATACCTGATTTGACAGGGCTTCAAGACAAGAATTAACAAGCTAAGAGAAGAGCATCTCAGATACATCTTCATGGAGGCACCCTTCACCTAGCATTGGATCCACCTCAGTTGGATAGAAGTGATTCCTCAACACTCTGTCCAGGAGTGTTCCCCCAGCTTTCCCTGTGAACAGAGACAGGAGGAAATCCCCCTCATTGGGGCAGTCCTCAAAGAGACACATGTTCTTTGAGTACCCTCAGCCTCTGAAGCCTAAGAAGAGAATGGCTTTGACGTTCTCCTCCTCCTCGCAGTATGAAGTGGGTTCCTACGGGAATCTAGGGCATCTTCCAAGCAGTGACTGTTCAAGACAATCTGCTGCACCTGCAGCTTCCTGAATGCCCCCTCCTACCCTCTGGTCAGTTCCCCTTTAGGGGTGACAAAGTAGAAAATAGAGCAGCTTGCTCCTCTATAAACAGGTTTCCCTGGAAGGACCCCCACTGGGATCCCCCAACCCAAGGAGCCAGCGGTTCTGGCCAGCCCCACCCCACATTAGGGATCTATCTTTAAGAGAGCCATGTGCTAGGACTTGTGAGATGGGGCTCCATCTGCTCCACCAATTCTGGCTCTGGCCCTCCCATCCTGAGTGAACCCTTCTGGGTATCAATCTGAAGGTCACCCAGGGTTCAGGAGGAGCTTCTCCCAGCCAGCTGGGTCTCTGATGTGAGGCTGGGGGAGGGGAGCCATGCAATACATGGGTAGAACGATGTGGGGGAATAATACAGGACTGGAGTCTGGACACAATGAGGGATGGGGGACAAGACCTGGGTGAAGACCAGGACACAGGGGACAGGTGCGGTGGTCGCACTGTCCGCTCTGCTGACTTCCCTGGATGTGGCAGACTTGGCTGCCAAATTCATGGTGATGGCAGTAACCATCAGTTGCTTGTTATGCCTCCTGTTATCGGGGATCCCTGTAGAAGTACAACAGATTTTTGAAGCTCTCCCCTTCAGGGGCTGTGCCTTATTCTTCTGGAAGATGGATGAAGCACGGCATATGTTAAAAGATTCTAGGCCAGTGTTGACATCCCTGCCCCTATATACACCAGACCCCAAAAGAACAAAATTTTGCCCGTGTTTCAACCAAGGCAGCAGTATTATATGCCTAGACAAGCAGATCAGTCTAGGTAAAAACAGAAGCAAGGAGGGAGGAGTCCCCAACCACCCGCTGCCGCCACTTCATCCAGGCAGCTGCATGTCTCAAAGCAGCCTATTCGGGTCTCTTCCCAGCTGTTTGTCTCCTATGCAGAAGAAAGGGATGGCATCCTGTAACATTGCAGTGGCTTTCCAAGTGGATCACCAGCTGTATTGTCATATATTACAAGATCAAGGGCATCATGCCTCATGAAAATCTCTGTGCAGTCAACCAGAGCACACACAACCTCCACAGTGGTTGTGAGAAACATCTTTCTTATAGATCTCTGGAGGGTGGCAAAATGGTCTTCAGTCCACACTTTTGCTAGATGCAATTAGTGTATTTACCACATCAAGAGAAGACACGAATTTGGGGAAAGCAGTCCTGCAGTCCTTCATCCGATGAGATTCCTAGCCCTTCTCCAGCGGAAACTGCTTGGAAGACACCTAGTATAATGGACATATGCAGTAACACAAAGAAAAATGTTTACTCTCCTCTCATAACTGCTGTTCCTTGAGATGTGTTGCATATGTCTATTACACGACCCACCCTCCTTCCCCAGTACATCAGAGCCTGTCATCTAAGAATCCAGTACGAAGCTCTTGGCGTGGAGCATCAAGAACAGCAAGGTGCAGGAGTGGCCTCCCCTGTGGGTACTGCTAAGGAAAACTCGCCAACACTGGTGCACAGTGTGTTCACACACTTAGTATGATGGCATACACAACACATCTCAAAGAATAACAGCTGTCTGAGGTGAGAAACCATTTCTTCTAGTGAATATGTTTGTTGTAGTGATTCCACTTCTCCCATACTACCATTCTCCCATCTATATTGCTTTTCTAATATATATTAAACATCTACTATAAGATTTATGGACCTGTTTTCAAAGGAGCCAGATGAAATCAGGCACTCAACTCCGATTGAATTTTGGTGGGAATTGAACACCTAAATCCCTTGTGCTGCTTTGAAAATCATGGCCTTAGTCATTTTTTAAATAACAATATGAAACTCAGCTATATATTCCTCCTCTGACTGACTGACTTTTTGCTTTTGTCGTTCCTGGTAGCTGTAGCTCCATGGTTGCTGTGTGGAATCTTGTTTTGTACAGTGGGAGAAAAGAAAGGACAAAAAAAATTATAGTACATGTACACAAAAGACCAGATTTCATGGGGGAGACCAGATTTCACGGTCTCTGACACTTTTTTGTACGTCCATGAATTTGGTAGGGCGCTAGTTATATATAATGTAAGATTTGTGAACTTAATTGTCATTATCTACCACATGGTTGTAATTACTACAGATATATTGTTCCATACAGCAATGTTTAGATATTATTACAACAATAAAACATGCAAAGTGAGTGTTCATTAAGGTAAACTATATCTGTTTTGAATGTTAATTACAGCATTTTAGGACAAAAGTTTGTTTGAATTCAGAATTATAAAACCATTTATAATTACAATTAAAAACTTAAGCTTTGAAAATAAGGTCTTAGAAAATTATTGCAAATTCACAGTAGTAGCTGTTTTAAATGATATTTCTATTAATTATACCATATAATGCGAGAGTATAATGCCTTTGAGGAACATTTCTTTTCTCAGAGTTGCATTTGGGAACTGCAATGGTTTGGCTGTTGTGGATTTTATGCAGAAGACAGTATTGCTGAGCATGGGAACCATTGACCTATACGGATCAAGTGATCCATACCAGCGTCAGCCCCGTTCTCCACGCAAAAACAAGCAGTTCACTGCAGGTAGGAGATAAAACACAGTTGTTTTGAACCCGACTCATTCTTTGTTTTCTTGCTTGCGGCTTTTTATAGTGCTTTTGAAATGCATGATTATCTGCCAGCCAGTGGAATTTATAGAAGCACATGAGAAAAATCTGACTGCTCCTTAGGTATTGAAACTTCCTCAAATGCAAAGCATTATATCTGAAGCTTAATTGTTTGGGATGGTGGTCAGCAAGTAATCTCCCTAGCTGAGGCCCCAGGTAATTGTAAGGAGTAGAAAAACTGATTGTCTTAATGCTAGCTAGCTCATGATGTGCACAGTCAATATGCTGCTTTTTTTTCCAGTTGCCAAATGCTTCAGACAGATAAGCAAGATTTCACTTTAAAGCAACATGTATCCTCTGCCAAATCACATGCTTTTGTCTTTTAATAAATCTTTATGGTCGAAGAACTAACTGAAAAAACACATCCCAGGGACATCTTCATTAAGTAGCTGAAGCAGCTTAAGACAGGAAGTAGACATTTTTATTCTCCTCCATTGGATATAGTAACTAGAGCGCTTGATAGAAGCTCATTAAATCTGTCTGTGCAATTTTTTTAAATTTGATGTCAAGAAGCATCTGACAGACTTCATTAAGTGTTGCATAGTGGAATTAAGTTTCCACCAATACAATTACACTTTTCCTTATGTTTCTGTTAATATAAAATTTCCATTTGTGTCAGAAAATTAGTAAAATGAGTACCTTATATTTGTGTAAAATATTTTTGTCTGTATGTTTCATTTTTACACAATTAAAACAGACACAGTTATGACATTTTAAAGTTTGGTTACAAAGCAATTGGGATGAAAACTTCAGGGTTTATAATCTAGTCATGAATTTTGAAAAATGTAAATTGTAGTGTACTATTAATTTATGACAACTATATGTTCATCAATATGTCCTGCACTAAGGCACCCAGTCATGTTCTCATTGGAATCAGTGGGAATTTTGCCACTGACTTTGGTGTAAGAAAGATTGGACTCTAAATTATTAAAACTTAAAGAAACCTCCATGTTCTACTTTTGTCCCTGAAATACTGTTTATTTTACATTTTACAAATATCTAACCCCATCAGGTTCAGTTCTCAGCTATGCCAAGTGTAAACACGATGTAAACTTGCCACAGCTTATGAGAGCAACTCCTGGTCTGGCTGGGGCCACAGCAACCCCCACATAACTTTGCTGCTCTTTTAACCACGCTTCAACCAGACACTGCAGCAACTGCACAGGAGGGGGACCATGGGTGATGTAGGGCTAGGTGGGCTAGCTTTGTGCCACCTGAGGATTCCCTTGTGTCAGGCAGAATCTTTGGCTGTCGCTTTAGGGCAACATTCCAGCTGTTTTGTGCAGCTGATAATTGAGCCCATCTTGTATAAATACCTACTGAAAATAACAATCTTTTTTAGACCACTCATCAAAATTATGCATCTGAATAAAACCTCAGCTGCTTTCTCACCATCCATCCCACACCCTTTACTTTTCTGGATTATTATTTTCCTTGTTATATCTTCTGACCAGAGGGTAAACATCTGCTGAAATTTCTTCACCTTGGCTGTTCTAGATGCTGGATATGGTATCACATCCTTTCACTTTAGACTGTTTTTTTTTTCTCTTTTTCCTCTGCCTGCTGCTGATGCTGGTGTACTGGCATGTTCCAAAGACAACTTTTGCATGCGTGGCCTGTCTAACTTTTATCCTGATTTAACGAAACGGATCCGTACTTCCTATCAGAGTAAGTTCTATAAAGGTTAGGCAAACAGCTTTATCACAATCACAATATGCCGGACTTAAACCCATATGTTTGTGCTCCGTAATGTGTTTCTTTAAACACATTCAGCATGCATGCAAATTTTTTAAATTTTCTTTTACAAGAAATGTAAACCATGATGAGTGCTGACAATTGTTTTCATTACACCAACATTTCAGGTCTGTTTCTGGTGCCAGTGAAGTCAATGACAAAACTCTCATTGACTTACCATGGGGTTGGGCCTTAAAATGGATTATTCAGCAATGTTAACTTCCTGATGATCATTAACATCCATTGTTATTGTGTTAATTTTAACGTGTATCTACTTATGTGAACAGGTTTCAGAGTAGCAGCCGTGTTAGTCTGTATTCTCAAAAAGAAAAGGAGTACTTGTGGCACCTTAGAGACTAACACATTTATTTGAGCATAATAAGGTCTGTAATCGTGAGCTACAGCTCACTTCATCGGATGCATTCAGTGGAAAATACAGTGCGGAGATTTATATACATAGAGAACATGAAACAATGGGTGTTACCATACACACTGTAACCAGAGTGATCACTTAAGGTGAGCTATTACCAGCAGCAGAGCAGGGTGGAAAAAACCTTTTGTAGTGATAATCAAGGTGAGCCATTTCCAGCAGTTGACAAGAACGTGTGAGGAACAGTGTGGGGGTAGATGACCCATCTACTCCCAGTCTCTTCACGCCAGTTGGAGAACGCTTCAGTCTCTCTGGTCACTTGATTACAGACCTAAAAGTGGCAACAAAAAAACTTCAAAAACAGACTCCAACGAGAGACTGCTGAATTGGAATTAATTTGCAAACTGGATACAATTAACTTAGGCTTGAATAGAGACTGGGAGTGGATGGGTCATTACACAAAGTAAAACTATTTCCCCATGTTTATTCCGCCCCCACCCCCACCCCCCACTGTTCCTCAGACGTTCTTGTCAACTGCTGGAAATGGCCCACCTTGATTATCACTACAAAAGCTTTCCCCCTCCGCCCCCCCCCCGCTCTCCTGCTGGTAATAGCTCACATTAAGTGATCACTCTGGTTACAGTGTGTATGGTAACACCCATTGTTTCATGTTCTTTATGTATATAAATCTCTCCACTGTATTTTCCACTGAATGTATCCGATGAAGTGAGCTGTAGCTCATGAAAGCTTATGCTCAAATAAATGTGTTAGTCTCTAAGGTGCCACAAGTACTCCTTTTCTTTTTACTTATGTGAAGAATCTCTTATTTTGAGATGGTGCTGCCCCAGTGTAGTTGTAAATAAATTAACTATTCTACTGTTTTAGAACACCAGTGTGGTCTACAGAACTAAGCAAAGGTGTGGGAGCCAGGAATACGAAGTTCTGAGCCTGGCTCTGTACTTGGTTTACTGTGTGGCTGTGGGCAAATGAGCCCATCTGTCTGAGTCTTGGTTTCCACATGTATGAAATAGGTATTATAATACTTATGTATCTCAAAGGAGGGTTGTGAGGATTAGTTAGTTAATATTTGTAATATGCTTTCAAGATGTAAAGTGGAGTATAAATTCTAATTACTGTTTTATACACAGTGTGTGATGCACTAGGCTATAATTCATTTTGCAGAAATGACTTATGAGGCCCTGCTGTGTGCTTCATAGGGTACATCTGCTTTTCAAGCTGGATGTGTAATTTCCAGCTTAAGAAGACATACCCACACTACTTCTGATGGAGTTATCTTGCTAAAAATAGAATGTAGCTGCCACCGTGCAAGCGTCAGGAGGTGCTAGCCACCCTGAGTACATACCTAACATCTTGGACAGGTACATACTCAGGTCAGCTAGCCCCTCCAGCTGCTTGCATCACCTTGGTTACGCTCTGTTTTTAGCTCTCTGGCTCAATCACAGCTGGCACGGATATGTTTTCCCTAGAGCTGGAAGTTACACTGTCCAGTTCAAAGTGTGAACATACCCTTAATGAACTGGCCTCTTGCTCAACTCTTTTTAAACCAGTTTTCATAGAAGAACTGGATAGGCCAATTAAGCTAAGTACTCAAGGAGGGCAAGATCATTAATGGGGAACAGTGGCTTGATAGCCTACTGCAAAGTATTTGTACATAATGCCATTAAAATGTGGTTCTGTGCTTACACTAGATTCCAGTGTACAATATTTATCCCACCCGTAGCAATGCATTTTGTACTGAAAGTGGGTAAAATGTTTGAAGCTTTTAAAAATGTGAACCATTTGTTCACTAAATGTGAGGCCAGTCATAAATCTGGTAACCTGTTTAAAGGAATGTGATTTGTTAAAGGAATAATGCCTATGACATAGAATGTTTTAAAACATAATTGCCCAATTCCTGCTAATTTTATTTGATTTAAAACTGGAAGATGGAGAAACAAGCTGCTACCACAATTTTTTAAAGTATGTATTGTCTGCTTTCCAGCTTCAATACCTAAATCAGAAAAGGCCTCCCTAAAGTCACTCAGGTATCTGGCTGAAAGCTCCCTCCATCATCTGCCTTCTCTGTTTCCTCAGGAATTTTATTTTGTTCATTATTTAACATTTATATTGCAGTATGTGCTGTACAAACATAATAAATGACAGTCCCTGACCCAAAATTGCTTTCAGCCTAAAAGACAAGACATAACAGGTGGGTGAAACAAAGCAGTTGGCAAGGATTGGGAGGGAGAGATGGTGTCACAAAGAAATATAATAGAACGTGCCAGTTTTTAGCTGATCAGTAGTAATGATCACAGCTTTCCACTTGCCTAGCTAATCTCAGGTTCTACTTTACAGTACACCTTACAGAAGAGGTGAGTTTTCAGGAGGATATGGCAATAGCTTTACAAATTTTGATGGGAAGTTTTCCCTACTCATAAGTGGTAGCAAAAGAGAAAGCACAAAAGTGTTTGTTGGAGAACCAGAGAATTGGGAAATTGAGGCTGGCATTATTGGCAGAGCACAGGTGGGAGTCAACCTTGTGGTAGGTTGAGGCCTGAACAGTGGAGACCTTTGTGAGGACAAGGAGAGCTAATGGAAGGACTTAAAGAGGGTATTGACATAATCAGAACAATGAACCAAGAAGCTGATCTTAGAAGTAGTGATTTGAATGGATTTGAGGAAGGCAAGCTTGCAGGCATTGTGGCCAGAAAGGAAGAGATTACAGTAGTCAAGGAGCATGATGATCTGTGCTGGAGAAGAGTTTTGGCAGAGAGGAGAGAGAAGAATGGTTGGATTCTTGGAAGAGATGTGCATCAAGAAGGATCCAGATTTATATGCAACCTGATCTGAAAATCCATGAGGAGATCCAAAAAGACAGAGATTTTAATTTGGATGGAGGGAGATAAGTCCAGAGTGGAGAGGCAAATTTGTGAGTCATCAGCATAAAGATGGTATTCAAAAGCACCCAGAGACAGGGTATAGAGGGAGAAGTGAAAAGGGCCCAGGTAGCCTTCAGTGACCCCCACCAAAAGAGGAAAAGGGAAAGAAGATGACCCACCAAGACGGACACTGAAGGAGATATCCAAGAGGTCAGAGGAAAACCAGGAGAGGACAGAGTCACCGAAACCTAGAGATAACAGGATTTCAAAAGGTTAGCATTGTCAAAGACAGTTGATAAGTCAAGGAGGATGAGGGTGGAGTAGCAGCCTTCATATTTGGCCAAAGAGAGGTCATTGGAGAGTTTGATGAGTGCCATTTCAGTAGACTGTAGGGGGTGGAAACCAGAGTGAAAGGCACCTAGAATGGACTTGGAGAAGAGGAATTTCAGACAGCCGTTGTAGACAGCACACTCAGTGGGTTTGGAGATGAAGGGGGAAGGGACATGGGGTGATACATTTGAAGGGGAAGTGGAATCAAGTCTGGGCTCTTTTTATAGAGAGACCAAAACATATTTATATTGTATGTGGAAGGAACCTGAGGAGAGTAAGAGGTTGAGGAGAAGAGTGAGGACTGGTGTGAGGGTGGCTTTGACTCTGCTTCCAACCCATTGTGTTTTCATTGCAACTGCTGGCAGCCATGTTCCTTTGTAACGAGTGTCACAGTTTCAGAGTAACAGCATCTGTTTCCCTTCCATGGTTCACTCCAGGAGTGCCCAGTCAGGTCTCAGATCTCCAGCTATCACCTGTCTCTGAGCAAGGACCCTGTCCCATTCCCTTCTGACTAGGAGTTTTAAGGCCGCACAGCCCCATGCCACACACAGGGATATCTCCAGTAAGCCAATCTGCCTAATGGCATTTGCTTGCACTGTGCTTTCTCTCCAAAGGCTGTGAACAGTGCATTGCCAGCAGTTACAGAGAAAACATAATAAAAACAATAAACAGATTTAAACATACACTAAACATAACAGGAGTCACCAATCTGTCTGATGGGGCCCTAGTAGGCCATAAACTTTTGCAAGGGTTGGGTCCCCCTTGGACAGAAGGTCCTATTCACTTGCTGTGGATAAATTGGAAAGAGTCCAGCGAAGGGCAACAAAAATTATTAGGGGTCTGGAACACATGACTTATGAGGAGAGGCTGAGGGAACTGGGATTGTTTAGTCTGCAGAAGAGAAGAATGAGGGGGGATTTGATAGCTGCTTTCAACTACCTGAGAGGTGGTTCCAGAGAGGATGGTTCTAGACTATTCTCAGTGGTAGAAGAGGACAGGACAAGGAGTAATGGTCTCAAGTTGCAGTGGGGGAGGTTTAGGTTGGATATTAGGAAAAACTTTTTCACTAGGAGGGAGGTGAAACACTGGAATGCATTGCCTAGGGAGGTGGTGGAATCTCCTTCCTTAGAAGTTTTTAAGGTCAGGCTTGACAAAGCCCTGGCTGGGATGATTTAATTGGGGATTGGTCCTGCTTTTGAGCAGGGGGTTGGACTAGATGACCTCCTGTGAGGTCCCTTCCAACCCTGATATTCTATGATTCTATGATCAGACAGAAGTTCCAAAGTCAGTTTAAATGCAGCCAAAAGCTCATTCTTTGTTGGTCACTGGAAAATCCAGTTTAAAGTAGTATATTC